TACAGTCACTGACTTCAGGCACTTGTAAGTCATAACTAATACATGACTCGGACAATCAGTACGTTAATCACTCATAGTCTGATTACTCGGCACTTTACAGTTTTTTTCTGAATTCAGTTAAAATGAAGCACTAAGGTAAACAATGGCTTGGTATAGGTATTTAGCTGTCTCATCTAGTGTAAGTTATTAACCCCATTAACTGAGTTATTCTTTCGCCTACTATTATATAAGTAACCTCCATGTGGCTTACACTGTGTTTACATCCCATCTGAAAAGTAATATTATTCTAATACTCAAAATACTGCAGATTGGGCGTATTCTTCAATACACAAGCCCTCAATACTCAACCAAACTGTACAACAGAGAGTGTAAGTTGGCGTAACTCACAAGTAGATTTTGTCATGTATCTGTTAAATAAGGTTGATGAAACTTCCTAGATAGTTTTTCAGAGCTCTCATTCACTTCATTTTAAAGTTAAAAATGGGTAATATTAAAGAGATGTAAGCTTTATTGTGGTTCGTCATATCACTGAATTTTGTATCAACACAAGATTTTCTAACTGTTAAAATGATGAAGCATTTCTATATTGACATATAGAAATCTCTCAGCTGACTTAGTCTAACGTTTAAGAGTTATCCAAGTTATTTATGAAATATTTCTTCAGGCTGCATATCAGAATTGCTATTCGATAAAATATGAGCATCAGACGTTATCCATCAGTTGCTTCCTTTCTGATAGTTGCTAAAGCCTAAATCCCATCCTGTCTTATCAAATATATATTTTATCAATTGACATATGAATATCTTAATATTACCTTATTTCGGAAAACACAACTAATATTTCAAAGTCATAGATTTACATCCCCTTCTGAAACACATATTTCTGGGTAGTGGAGAAAAATTCTACTGAAGATCTTTTGCTGTGATAATACATGGATGAATAACTTTTCTGAGGATTAGTCAACATTGTAACCGGCACAAAAAGGCATTTATTTGACAGACAGTGCCAAGTATTACCGTTGACCGGACCGAAATGGTCGGCCTGAATTGGCTTGTGGGCTTCTGACAAGTCCCAAATAGAAAGAAATGTGCATCGAGGATTCCAGTACTAGCCACTATCCATCATTACTATGTGATTAAAAACACGAGCAATATTGAGGTGTCCACGCAATAGCCCATATCCAATTACAGACCGATCAGTTCGATCTAATCAAGGAATAACACTAAAAGTATACCCATCGCATAAGAAGTGGTTATCGTGGCTCGGTGGTGTAGTGGCTAACACGCTGGCATCTGAAACGATCGGTCCCTAGTCCACATCCCGAAGGGAACCACATCACTCACTGAGAGGTAGGTACATCCAGCTGATGAGTCCCAAATAAGACGAAATCCGCATCCTGAATTCCACTACTAGTCACTATTCATCACTGTCAAATACATTTAAAAGTAAGGAGCTCTCATAAGATAACATCCTACTTATTAGTAGTTTAAGTAGCCTAACAAAATAATAAAGCAAAAAGATAGCAATCTTTCGAAAATTATGAATATACAAGAATGAATAAGAAAGAAATATAGATGTAGTGATATAGAAAAAAGTAAAGAGAAAGAAACAGAAACAAGTTTATCTTACTTCCACATCAGCAACAACAATAATAATTCCTTTTTAGTTAAATCAACTGGAAGTAACAGTATTTAGCCTGAAGGATGATAGCATACATATATATTTATTTATAATGGTAAATATGAAAGCTTCATCAAGCTACAATTATTGGACTATGCAGAAAATAAATGATTAAGTGGAAGAGTAAAAAAAAACAATTGGCGTAAATTCAAAAGTAGGAAACAAATACAATAAGATACATTTAAAGTTATTCTGCTTATCTCTTGTTTTATTATATTTAGAAGGAAATAAAATTGCCTGATTTATCATGCTCTCTTGTTATATAAACTAATTTAGAATTTGATAAGAAAGGAATAGGGAGATAAATAGTCAAGAATAGAATTATTATCAACACTAGATAGATTAATGGTCAGTTCTGATTTCAAAATGGTACTTATATGAAATTCATTTACTTAGATTGATTTAGTTAACAATAAAAATAGTTTTACGTTATATACTTCACACATATTAAGAAACGAAATATTGATGTTGTTAGTAAGGGTATAACACCAATTTTTAGTAAGTCACTGCTGCTATATGGTTCAGAAACTTGGCGCGTCACGAAAACACTACCAACAAACTACAGACATACATCATCAACAGCTGCCGCCTACTCCCACTCGATACTGAAGATGGAGATCAGAGATGGCCAGAATTAAAAGAAATAAGCAACAAGGAACTTGCTCTGGGAACGAACTGACGAGGCAAGAACCCATCATCCAACAAATGGGTTGGGTATACACTGAGAAGGCCGATTGGGGACATCGCGCACCAGACCAGGCCGTCGAGGGGAACCCGTATGGGAAATGAGGAGTTGGGCGTCCCAGCTGAGGGTGACATGGAGATGATGTGAGGAACAAATGAAAGCTTGTAGGCAGTGGTGGAGTGAAGTTGAAAAGACTAGAGAGAAGAGAGTGGAATGGAGGCGTGTTGCTGAAGCCCTATGTTCGACTATGACGACATTTCTGTTAAGTTTGGATCATTCCAATAAAGAATAGTGAACCAATCCAAGAGCCTTACTACTGATCTCCAAACTTATTGTCATCTTTCGATGATGAATAAAGCCCCTTCACATTCCGTTCTAACAGTCTGCTAATGCCTGAAAACTTGACTGTATGTTCTCAACCTCTATATATGTATGTTACACAATAGATTCGATGTATATCGAGGATGACATATTTCTAAGCACAATGAAACACGGTTTTCCATAAATCACTCCAATCATCCACCCATGACTTAAACGGTGTATAAATTAATCAAACCTCTCTATTAATTTCATGGTAACGGTTTTTATAGTTAATAATGCCATGAAATATTTTAAAAGTTTTTATAGGTCAATGAACAATTACTAATAAACAAATATGTTTAGAGAAGAATGTATTGAATTGCTGGATAAAAGGAAATAATTACTTTTTATTTCTTCAACTACACTTTCAATAGTATTGTCCATCGAATATGCTTAGAGATGAATACAATGAACAAAATAGCAATCATTAATCTTTACGGATATCCTTTCCGCATTATTTTTTTCATTGTTATCAATATTTTAAATGTTTCAACTTCATAGAAATTAGTAAATGAATCAATGCATGCAATCCTATAAAGAATTAAATGATGTAAGAAGTAAGGAATAAATCTTCTTCATAAACACGCACATAATAGACAATATCCAATGAATACATCTGCCTAAATGTTGTTAAACACTAATAGACATTTCACTTTTTACCTACATAACTAACTAATCGTTTCCGGTTTTATGATAACACATTCAGTGTTGTTTATATGTTTCTTTCACTTCCTTTGATTTTTCACTTGAATAAGTTTTTATTTATCTTGTTACTTGATAAAAACTTGATTACTATCAATTTACATTCAATAAGATTTAATTTAAAGAAGGTATTATACAACTGTTTTTTTTCTCTCGGTACTTTAGAATGAATACAAATGAAACATTCAGTATATTTCATTTCAATTAATAATTTATAACACGCAAAAATATATTCTTGTTTCTTTTTTATATCGTTAGTTCGACAATTTTATTCTTGTTCTAATCTATTCTGAATACGGTCATTTGTTCTATTTAACCGTACTTCCGCTATTCACTATTTCTGCCTTCTTCAAGTATTTTTACTCTATTTAACTCAAAAACTTGCTATAAAATGTCTTTCCTCTTTCTTGAGAGATATAAATTTGTGATTTATTCGATTGTTAAAAGAAAGAAAAAAAATTTTCAGATTAATTCCGTGTTTATCAAAGTAGAAGAGAAGCAAAGATAACGAGTTGAAAATTTATAGTGAACTCAATCATCTTTGAGTGTCAGTAACAGATGACTTTATTACTTATATGAAGTGATATACGATGTCTACCGATGTAAAGCTTAAAAGATAACATTATGTAAACATGAAAATGTATAGATATGCTTTTAGACCTTTATAATATCCTAATAAATGAATATAGTTTTGACAAAATACTGGTGTGAAGAGACATCCCACTCTATGCGCGATAATTATAGTATAGAAAGAAATAAAACTGTATTAAATTTATAGTTTTGCGGGATTTATTGATTGATTTCGGATTGGTATTCATCATGGGCTGACAATAATTGAAGAACCATGACGAACCTGGTAGCATTGGACAATTGTTTCGTCCTAATATAAAACTCTTCAGCATTTCACACCCATGACCCCGCCAGAGATGAAATCCAAGGCCGTCAGGTTCCGTTACCAACATGTTACCATCGAGCTATTGTATACACTTAAGAAAACTGTTGCTGTATCGGTATTACATATGTTTAGGGGTTAACTTTATTTTTTGACTTACACCAGCGGTTTGATGGATAAACTGCACCAAAAAAACTTAAAGTGTTAAAAGCCACAAACTTTAATGATATTTTATTCATTATTTCCTACCAGTTATCAGCAATTAGTGGTGTCATATGAATAAAGCGTCATCTAAAGCCATCTAGATCAGATTATTGACGGTGTTGTAATCTTATGTTTGAGATATCAGTACTGGAAAGGTCACTAAAAGCACTGAGCCCATTCCAAGGAGTGGTGATCATGTATTATATATACCAGGATCATAGGCATCGAGTCCACTCTACGACAAGGTCTGAAGTTGAAAGAAGTTGAAGAGAGTAGCAGTGGGTTTAGTATGTATATGTACACCGAGTGAACTCAATACACTTACATATACTTGGCAGATACCGCTGGAATTTTAAATATTGTTTTCAAGCTATGGATATGTATATCATATCATGAATATGATTGTTTTATAGATCAATTCAATAAAATCAAGTAGTCTCATCTCTTTTCGATTTCAAACAGGACATATTACTTTACCTGAGACTTCCTGGTAAACTATCTCTTGTTTCAGTTGTTCGAAGATTATTAGTAGTAGTATTTGTACTGGATGATGATATTTGTTTATCAGATTTACGAGGAAACGTAAAAGCAAAACACTGTGATTCTGTCAGTGAAATCTGCAAATCAGAGCCAAAGGTTTTCGACTACTTATATCTTCCAGCATAATATTTCATATTCATTGTTTGTTTGTTACCTTCCAAAATACAAATTCCCAAATTTCCTGAGTAAGCTTCCTTATTTTTGTTCCCTGGACCTATGATATCATTACCACTCATAGGCTTTACACTTTTTTATCTGAAGACATTGTCAAGTATGTCATGTATGTATTAAGTCTAGTGATTTGTTTTAAGCTCAAACTATTTTCTGCAGCTAAGGTGTAAAGTTAAATGATTCCATCATATTCTGTGAATCTGTTTCATTGTTTAAAAGTTATATTTTACTTTCAGCCTTTTATGAACCAAGTAACCGCAAATTTTGGTACTGTTTTTATTTAGTCCTCAAGATTAGTACTGTATAACCAGATATGTATACAATGTAGTGTTTCTGTCACAGTACTGTGAAGTCATCAATAACTTCATTATCTGAATGTTAACACAAAAGTAATACATAATATGGTACAAACATTAGACAATACATAATAACAATAATGATAATCTTTTTATTCCAAACAGCATCTGTGTACACTAGCAACATTTCAGCAGGTAATATTTCAACAAATGTCCTCCCCCGTACAATGTTTTAAAAAAAAGTAATTATTGTATCTGAATAGTGTTAATAATAATAGTATTAAAGGCACTAATGTGAAACGGGTAACTGGTGTTATATAAGCATCTGATCTGGACTTGAGGATGAATGCAAAATCAACACAGACTAGATGGTTCTCTTCAGAGATCAATTTATAGGAAGCCTATACAAAATGGACAATATTTGAATTTCTATAGCCGAGGGGTGCTTCTTAGCAGAAAAAGTTATCTGATCCATTCTTTATCTTTAAAAATCAGAAGAATCTGGATAAGTGATACTATCGACGATGAATTAGACAAACTACGGAAGATCCTCATGCAAAATGGATACCCATCCAGATTTATTGAGAAAAACTTGAAATTAAAACGGAATACTGAGCAAGTACTCACAGTTCCAAAGAAGACCATTTCTATGAAAGTTGGTTTCAAAGGCGATACGACAGCAGAGATCCTGAAGAATCGGCTGTCCAGATTACTGAAGATGACATTCTTCTTTGCGAAGCTGCAGATCAGCTTCTCTAGTCAACAACTCATTCCAGAGTGCGTTAAGGACAAGTTGCCACTTCGGGCCACCTCGTTGTATGTCTATAAATTTACTTGCTCCTGTGGAGCTAGTTATATAGACCACATAAAGCGCACGCTTTCCAAAAGTATCTCGGAGCACTATCCTGCATGGTTGTTGAGGGGAGAAGGTAAATCAATTAACAGTTCAACTCTTGAACATTTGGTTAACACTGAACACAAAGCTCGACCAGGATCCCCCTTCAGTGTTATTTGTCGAGTCAAATGGAATAGTTTAAAAGCACTACTCTCTTGACAGTTGTGCACAGCAGGAGCACTGGCAATTCATCAATTCAAACCTGAACGCTGCGTGCAAAAGAAGTATGTTCAATCTCTTATCTTACCATGGTCTTAACACTTTCATATTTTTTCGATTTCATTATAATTAGTTGGATAATTATTGCCACCTTCATTATGACCCTTGTCTCACTCTTCACCTTCTTTACCTTTATCTATCAAGTGAACACTCAATATTCGTATTTCTCATCTATCAACAATTTTCACCTTGTCAAACTCTTTGCCTTCATCGTTGTTTTTATTGTCTCGAAGATTATTGCGCAACTACCTTGCATTCTTGATTCCGGTATTTTTTAGCACTAGGTTGATGATGCAATTACACCCTATTGTTCAATTATTATATTGTCATTTTTTCCCTTGAGTTCCCAGTGGAACATATGGCTTCAGTAGCACTCCTCCATTCCACTCTATTCTCTGCAGTCTTTTGGACCTGGTACCACAACCTGCCCATAAGCTTTCATTTCTTCCTCACATGACCTCCTCCATGTCACCCTCAGCTGGGACGCCCGACTCGTCGTTTCCCATACGGGTTCCACTCGAACACCTGGCCTGGTCTGGCGCTTGATGTCCCCAGTCGACCTCTTTTGTTCAATAATAGACTTATGTGTTTATGATGTATATAAATACGATTGTATAGCTTTAAAAAATTATATCGTTGAAAAAGAAAATTTTCTTCGCCGAATTTTCTCTGCTCTTCTCTATGACAAAATCAAATATTATTTTGGTGGTGATAGTTCAAAAATCTACAATTCGACATAGATACAGTTATTGCTTGCATTACATCGTCGTTGACTGGGCCGAATTAATCAGTTTCCGTTGATATATATGGGCTCCTGTGCAGATGCCTCTATATTGCCTGTGTTCTAATTATGTATAGTAATGATGGGTAGTGACTAGCAGTGGAATCCAGGATGTGCATTTCGTCTTATTTGGGACTCGTCAGCTGGATGTACCTGCCTCTCAGTGAGTGATGTCGTTCCCACTAGAATACGGACTCTGTATCCTAGGTATCCTAGAAATAGTACTGTTCCGTATTTTTGACCATTTATATGTCTGTTTACATCTGGCTTAACCTTTTTCGCTTTTTTTTGTTCTTAGCTTGAGAGATGACAGTTTGAAAATATTTTTAAAAGGTGGAAGAGTACGGAAATGGTAGAATTTGATGAAATATATTCTGTAGAAAATTCTTTTCGGCAGCCTAAGTTTTAAGCAGGCCACCTTTAGCAGATATCATGAACGGAGAAGACTTTAAAGCGTAAATAATTTTATGGAGACAACTTACATCGTGATCATTCTACCTCTATGTTTCAGCGATGAGAACATAGGCAATCATCCAATCATGTACTAATCTACAAAAAGAGATATTTTTCTCATTCATAAATTTAACAGAAAACAAAGTGTTGGCTCACATCACCGTCACTGATACAATACCAGTGAACGTTACTAGGATAAATATGTTTCGATACTCGGTTTGACCCCTGGCGGGGTCGTGGATGCACACTGCTAAGGAGTCCTATACTAGGACAAAGCAGCTCTCGAGTGCTCCCAGCTTTCCTTTGTTCCTCCAACTGATGTCAGTCTACAACGAATAACAACTTGAAATATTTTCAAATCCCTAAAACTCCCTCAAAATATGTTTCTGTTTACATTCAAAGTCGCAAAATATTTATTCCATGGGGAAATAAAAGTTTCAAGTCATATAGATAACACATGTGTATGTTTAATATTCATTTCATTATTTAACCTTATTACAGTTGATTACACTGAATGTTAAATAAGATCAGAGTTTTATTATACTTGTTTCATCCAAAAAAAAAAATATTATCGTAGAGAAGACGTTTGTTATTAATGAAATTGTCAAGTGATACAATTCTCATTTTAACTATCTAATTACTTTCTCTTTTTTAAAAGAAAACAGGAAAAATAAGATGAATAATTTTCGGTTGACTTTTAAAATCATTCTATTCTATATATCCTATATGAAAGTATTTTATCGCTTTTCATCTTTACATGTGTATGTTTGTTAGCGTATACTTTGACAGGAAAACTTGACTTGAAAAAAATAAAAACCCACTTCAATATAAGTTAAATAGGTTTAATTTTCTTTTCTCTCTAATTTTCTATAAGTAACTTCCTGTTAACTGTCAACATTTTTATTTATGATAAAGAGATAGATACTACTTAATTCATCTATTAAACTTAGTTGGAGAAAATATTTGGTTATGTCATTTTATATTTATAGATGTGTATGCTCATAGAGTGAGTTATTATGATACAAACCATCAGGGGAAAGATGCTGAAGAATTCTAAGTAATTATGATGTGTCAGAGATAAAAAAAAAAGGAACTTAGAATAGAATAATATTTTCAAACTTTAAATGATGAGATACACACTTATTACAGCCTGTCTTCTATATATATTTATGAAAATAAATTCAATGAAAAACTTAAATGAGATATATAATGAAAGGAACAGATTTTTTGCATCCCAGAAGCAAGAACAAATTAAGTAACTATTATTTTTTGGTATTGTAGTTTTAAAATTCAATTTCTGATAACTAAATCTTAGCATATCTAGTTATTTTTAAAGAGAAGTCATAGGCAAATTTACTAGTGAACAAGTTTACTACCAAATTAAACGTTTATTCAGCATTTATATTCAGATATTTTTAAGAAATTCATTGGCAACACTGACTCATAATTTAATTCTTCGCCTTTTTATGACTATCAGAAAAAAGTGAACATATCATCCCAACAAGTGCAAACGAGTACAAAATCTAAGTTCAAGGATTCCTATTGATCGATTGTAAAAATTTTACACCTAAATACTACAGTGCATCATATTACTTCACCCAAGAAAGAGATTTTGAAACATAACCAGCATATGTCTATCATTTCAGAGAGCTAAGGATAGAGTAGACTCATCCATTAACCACTAATAATTAATTCTTGTACACAATCCAGTCCCATATGGCATCAGTTTTGTCCTGAATAACTTGATGCTTAGTTCTCTGATCTTATCACCAAGTGATACAGGCTAATATACTCAAGGGAATAACAATTTGTTCATAGTTGCAGATATGCTTTTGGGATGATAGCGAAAAGGTAGGAAACATGGATTCATTGCATCCTATCAATTGACCCCCAATATCTGAACTTAAAAAGAATTAGATATTTGAATGGTTGCATTAAAAGTTATTGAATCATAAAGCTAAAGAAAATAATCAGCTAACTTTATGTATACTGATGTATTGTTTGTTATAACTGATGAGTTACATGTAGAAAAAGAAAGACTATCCTAAAAATAATTATTATTTACACAAACTAATGATGAGTTTTAATAGCATTTGGTTCATACATGACCAGCTAAACAATGTAAATTTCTAGTATTAATTATCTACTGGACCATCTAAATTTATTGAGGAAGATTATATTGTATGTTCTAACAAAGTATAAGGGAAAGAGGTTGTCAATATTAGAAATTTCCGTTTCATCAATTTTTAGAACAATATGAAGTAAGAAGATACTTTTCGAAAAAATTCTTATCAGCGTCTACAGTTATAAAATGGAATTGTTCAATGTAGAAACAGGATCAGTTTGTGGTAAATATGAGGTCGAAATGAAATGTGGATCATGGATTATAAGCAGATCGACAATTTTAAGATGATTTATACA